GGCTGGCGCCTGGTGGCTGCCACATATATCATATAAAGAATTATATACAGAAATTAGGCGTCAGTCGAATAGTCGGCTCATAAGAGAGAAATTGCCTTGACAAATTAGGTGCTCAGACAAATTTGATGTCAAAAAGTGTGTTTTTTAATATTATTTAAGGATGTCTAGTCGCCGAATTATAGGTGCTCGTTCCGTTTGGCAGAAATTCGAACTCAAAGATAGGTTGCGCAACCAACTCCCAAGAGAGAAGTTGTCTTAAAAAATTAGGTGCTCCAATAAATTTGGTGTTAAAATGTTTGGTTTATAATATTATTTATGGATATCTAGTCGCCGAACTAGGTGCTCGTTCCGTTTGGCAGAAATTCGAACTCAAATATAGGTTGCGCGATCAACTCACAAGAGAGAAGTTGCCTTAAAAAACTAGGTGCTCAGACAAATTTGGTGTTAAAATGTTTGGTTTATAATATTATTTATGGATATCTAGTCGCCGAATTAGATGCTCGTTCCGTTTGGCAGAAATTCGAACTCAAATATAGGTTGCGCGATCAACTCACAAGAGAGAAGTTGCCTTAAAAAACTAGGTGCTCAGACAAATTTGGTGTTAAAATATTTGTTTTTTAATATTATTTAAGGATATTTAGTCGTTCAGTTTGGCAGAAATTAGACCTCCAACATAGGTAACGCGGTCAATTCACAAGAGAGAAGTTGCCTTAAAAAATTAGGTGCTCAAATAAATTTGGTGTTAAAATGTTTGTTTTTTTGATATTATTTAAGGATATCTAGTTGCCGAATTAAGTGCTCGTTTCGTTTGGCAGAAATTCGGCCTCGAACATAGCTTGCGCCTAATTTATTATGATAGGTAACTTCTCTTGAGTACTGATCTATCTTTGAGTTCGAATTTCTGCCAAACGGAACGAGCACCTAATTCGACTAGATATCCTTAAATAATATTAAAATACAAATATTTTAACACTAAATTTGTTTGAACACCTAGTTTTTTAAGGCAACTTCTCTCTTGTGAGTTGACCGCGTTAGCTATGTTGGAGGTCTAATTTCTGCCAAACGGAACGAGCACCTAATTCGACGACTAGATATCCTTAAATAATATTAAAAAACACACATTGTAACATCAAATTTGTCTGAGCACCTAATTTATCAAAGCAACTTCTCTCTTGTAAGCCGACTGTTCGACTGACGCCTGATTTCTGCATATAATTCTGTATATAATATATATTTTCGAATTATTTTGGTCATTCCTTGGAGCACCTAATTAGCACCTAATTATAGTGTATTTGTTTTGTTTGTTTACGCAATAATTATTTATTTTTTTTTATTGGGGGGCTAACTTAATATTGAGCTAGCTCAACCCCAAAAAAATTTTTTTTTCTGCCAAACGGTTCGAGCACCTAATTTGCACTTCAGCACCTAATTAGCACTTAATTTTGGTATGTGTTAGAATTTATTTATCGCTGGTGGGGGGGGGGGG